ATATGTATATATATATATATATATATATATATATATATATATATATATATATATATATATATATATATATATATATATATATATATATATATATATAGAATAGGATAATATTTCATAGTTACTTATGTAACAGACTTAATTTCAAGTAGACATTATTAAGAAAACTTTTCCATATTATTTGATTAATGAAATAAAAACGACTATAATGTAGAAGGTCAAATATTGTCTGAATATCAGATATCTTGATCAAGTCTCTTTAGTGTTAATTTGGTATTTCAGTTTGATAGTTCTTGCCAAGTTCATTACTTCAGTTTTGACTTTAAGTTCATCTTGACAATTATTAGTCACATTCTAAAGTAGTTGTTTGTCTACATCTAAATTGGAAGTAATTAGCATGAGTGAAAAGCTGATATTTGAATCTGAATCAGTGTGTGGTCCTAAGTCTGTCTGTCTGTTTGTAATGAAATATAGAACAATCATTTCATTCCCAGTATAGTTCTTATACATGATGTGGGGGATCTTTCAATTTATGAATTTCAGTGCTTGCTTGTGGCTTAGCTATAAATATCCGGATAAAACGGCAGTTAGGCAATTACTCTCACCTAATATTATTTTTGCATTTATTAGGATTTCTTGGGGGGTGGAAAATTACTCAAGGTGCTTTTTTTCATATTTATTTATCATTTTTTATTTTTTGTATTGTGGTTAGTATGATTTATATTATAAATGTTATTTTTACTGGTACCATTTTCATAATCTTTTTCATCACCATTATGATCATCACGCTTGCATTTCTTTGGGTCGTTATCACAGTAAAGGTAATAGTACTGCTATTGCTTTTTGCAGTAGTAGTAATAGAGTTGCTATTATCACAGGTAATAACGTTTCTTATCATTATTACCATTATTATTATTATTATTATTATTATTATATTTTTTTATTGTCTTATCATCATCTTCATAACCATCTTTATAATAAAGATATATAAACTGTATTCATTGTGGCAGATGTAGAAAAGGTATATCTTATATCTACCTCAGAAACATTTTTGACAAAGATATCAAAACCAATCAAATACATCTCTTTTATTCTGATGATATTCATTCTCATTCATGCTATTTCAACTTGATAATATATTATTATTATACATTTACTTATTACAATCTTTCCTATCCTTTATATTGTGTTTCTTTCATATTCATTTCATTTCCTAAAGTAATTGAAATGTAGCATTGTCCTTTCATTGCATACATGACAGTCAGTGTGACCTGTAATTGTTTACAGTGAACAAAGATTTTATATTAATCAAAGTGCTGGCTTTATGTTTCTGTATATATTGTTTGGAACTTTTGGGTTCATATTTTCTTTACCTATGCTTTTTCCTTTTTGTGTTCTACATTTCATTGAAATTTTTGCAGATTTTGTGTATATTATGCTGGTTGCTATAGAGCATTATATAGATCCATGGCTATATGTTGACCGCATTAGATACTTGCACTCCAAATATATAACTTAACAATGCTGCAATATGTTTGATATAGAAATTAAAATATGAGGATTTAGTTACTTTACTCCTTGGTTTCATATGAATATAGTATAAGAAGGGATTTATTAGAAATATCTTTATCTCACATAAAACTCTAGCATACCATTTATAATTGGAAAGACTGTATGTTTCAGTCATACTACAAATTGAAACTCAGTCATTGCTAATTTGTCCATACAACAGCTTGGGTGATGGCGTCACTTACCCTCAGCGATGTGTTGATGAAGATACAGATGACCTCCTAGGGTCTCGTCAGCGATGGGCCGAAGATGATGAAGAAAATGACCTTACCACAGGATTCACAAATAACCACACATATCGTAAGTTTTGTTATTGCTCAGTAAATTACCATTTTACTATATTTGCTTTCCCTAAATCTAATTCTGATGTGATTTTCTCAAAATCCCACCCTCTTACTCCCACACTCATTTTGTGTTTGAATTTGTGAAACTTTCTCATTGTGAAAAAGAAAATTTAGTTAGAATGATTAACCTCACAAAGCAAGAGATTCTTTCTCATTTATTTCTTCTCTACAATTATTTATTGCTATTTCCTCCCAAATCTTTAAATTTTGGTCCTACTCTGTCTTTGTCAACTAAATATGAAGTTAAGTAAAGTTAGAGAATAGCATTTTTGACCACTTGTTTTAAGAACTTTTGTTTCTTTGGCAGCTCTGGAGGAGGTGGTGGTTCAGTCCAACCACACCAATCCTGTGTAGACCAACACCTTTAAGAAGACCTTCTATCTGCCTGACTTCATAGAGACATTCCTACATCCCAAAACAGTGTGGACTATAATTTAGCTGGAGAAGAGGGAGTCTCACTTCTGCTGTTTATAGAGTATTAAGATACCATAGTGCATACAGTTATTACTTCCATGACTTTATAGTAAACAGAAGTGCTATGCCTTAAATTATGAACATTTTTCTCACCGTCTTTAAAAGTTATATGATGGAAATCTCCAAGCTTAAGACTGGAAATGTCTGCAATCTCTGAAGTCGTAACAGGTCCTTTATGGGCCAGAATAAGAACAGTTTTTTTGATTAACATTAAAGTTAGAACAGAGAATTTATGCATTGAGTACTGGTTGGACTGAATTATGATGGAATATGCTACAGTTTATATAGAAGGACAATTTATATATAAGGAATAAAAGGCTGTAACAAGTCCTTTTTTCTTGATTTTTTTCTTTTTTTCTTTAAGAAAACCAGGAATTCTCTTTTATTCTTCTTTTCTTAAATGAAACAGGAATTCTCATAATTTTCTGTACTTATTCATATTGGCAAGTATAATACATATCTGTACTCTCTGGTAGGGATAGCAGATTTAATTTTCTTGTATTTTTTATTATAAATAAATTGCTATCTTTACTGTAGATAGCGAATTGCTTTTGTGATCTTGTTGTTAAGAGGAAGTAAAGAATTCTTGAAAAGGATTCATGATATGTTCATATGTGAGTGTGGATGTGTATTATTTACTGAAAATTTCTTTGATAATTAACATTGGTTTCAACTAAGTAGCCAACTCATGATTTTTAATTATTTTTGTCGTTGTTTTTTTGAACAAATATAATGCTACAGTTAAAAGTAGACTAGTCTTGTGATTTGGTATTAAACACATGGTTCTCAGTGACTTTTTTTTTTCTTTTCTTTTCTTATCTTTGCATTTGTGTGTATAGGGTGGGTGCTTTTGTGTGTGTGTGTTCTTGCGTCTGTATGTGTGCGTGCTTGTGCATACACAGATGTACGCATTTGTAATAATTACATGTGTTCACAATTACAAACATGCTTATACATAAAAACATGCACACACAAACAAATATGTATATTGAAGTGGATCATGGATGAGAGTTGTCAGTGTGAACATTTTTATATTTTTACTGTAGTGCAGATCAAGGTACTGCAGATATTTTTAGTATGCAACACATTATGTGTAATTTGAATTTCACTAAGTCACTAATTTTTGGTTTGTTTGAATGTTTAGATTTGAAATTTGTAACGTCTGCTTAAGATTCCTTTTTTTTTTTTTAGATAATGATTGCTCTCAAGACTAACTTTGTTTTGCATTTCAGTTGTACTACATTGACACTTTAACTACTTGAGCAATCTTCTGTGATGCCTTGCAACATTTTAGATATTCAAGATGAAATGACTACATCTTTTCTGTGAATGGGATTCTTGTAGCTGAATCAGTTTTTTCTGTAGTCATTCTTGTAATAATGACTCACCAAAGAGTTCTCACAAGTCCTAGAATATATGACAGGCCTCCAAAACAGATGAAACCCTCATATCTTTTTTATTAGTAGTAGTTTTAAGGAAGTCATAAAGTATGGAATTGCTCTACAGTTAGGTTTGTTTCATTGGATTATTAGTATTAGTATTTTTTAGAAAAAAAAATCCCTCTGAACATTTGCAGTTGCTTTTCATTATTGTTTCTTTATTTTATTATACAGTTATAAAAGTTATTTCCCCTTGTTTCTTTCAAAAATATCCTTCTGTAAGATAGTTACTACTATTGTACATTGTTTTGTCTGTTTAGGAAGCACAAATTTAATAAGCTAAGAAACCATAAAATACAAAAAAAAGGATAAAAGATAAAAACTAAATAATGGTGATGCACATGGTCTTGCAGGCTGACAAAAGTCCTGAAAAAGCCAGTTGTCAACAGTACATGGTAATGGCAAATAGCTTAATATTTTTAAAGATTATAGTGTGCAAGTGACACCTCTGTGCTGTTTTGGTGACAAACTTGTGTTAACATGATGTCTTTAGATACTAGTATTTGTTGCATTTATGATATTTACATCACTTTGATATGAATATAATTTTATCATATTTCTTATGTCTCTGCTCACATTGTACAGTTGACCTATTCAAAGAAAAACAATATTTTGTCAGTGCTGTACTTACAATGTTTTCAAAGATTTTGTAATGTGTACTTGTAAATTGTATAATACATTGACAAAGATACAAAAACTGCTTTACCATTATATAACATGTTGAGCCCAAAGTGCTTGTAAGAGGATCAAGGAATTACCTCTGAAATGGCTGCATTTCTCCATGAAAGACAGTCAATATTGGCAGGATGATTATTAGCCTTAAAACATGTATTTTAGGTCTCACTTTTGGGATGTAAATGTGATGAATTTTATATTAGATTCACACACTGTTATAAGGTTTCAATTACATAATGTTCCATTTCAGATCATCATAGAAAAATAGCTTTGAAGTGATTTGAAAGTGTTTTATTTATCATCATTATATAGATCTCAAATTATAAGTTAAAACAAAGTCCTTAGGTAATCTATTTGGTAAACATAATTTTGGAATGGGAATATCAAACAATATATCAGTAAGCACAGATGCACATTTATTAGTTCATTGATATTTTTATTTTGGTGCAAGACTTACCTTTGATAAAAATTACATATTCCCTTTCTTTGAATAATGGATATCTGCATTGCTGTTCCAAAAAGTCAAGCTTGCTGGATGAGAAGTTATAGGGAAACAAATCAGAGATGGCAGGTAAATTTTCTGAAGGAACACTATAAGGAAAACAAGCTATGAGTTAAATCACTTACCTCAACTGCCTTCTGGCCTGTCCACACAGGCAGGTAACTGTAAAAGTGATGTCACAGGTGAGAAAACAATGAGGAAACTATTTCTTTGCAGAGTAATTTGTCTGCCAGTGAAGACATCTCCATTTGTGCTTGCCCATGTGCCCACCTGTTTTGATGAGCCTTTATACTTGTACAGATTTTGGTTTTCACTAAAATACTCTCCCAATCCCCCTTGCTCATTGTTGTCATGGGGGTGTAGGATATGGAAACTGAGGCCCAATTTAGGGGATCACCCCTACCTTGGACCACATTTGTTGCCTCAACCTATTTTGAATGGTCTTTTCTTTTCCCCCTTTCCTTTTCCTCTCTTCTTCATCCCTTCTACTGTCCACATCCTAAAGTGAAAGCTATGCTGAAATGATGAAAGGCTGGCTTTGTCAGTCCTGAATGGCCTTCATATACATATGCTGTTCCTTCTTTACCTTCTTCACTACCATACTAACCTACAGCACTCTACAACCTTAAATAACATATTTTATCCTAATTGTTAACTCCTTTTCCCCCTTTTTGCCAGGATACTTCATCATAGTACTGTAGTATATATATTTAATATATATATATATANGAAAGGCTTAGAGGAAGAGGGGTACGGGGGCAGGGGGTGCAAGGCTGGAAGGGCGGGAGGGAGACCCTGCGGTTGCCACACGTGATGTCTGCCTCACGTGTGTAGTTATCAAGGCTACTGCGGCGAGGAAGAATGACTGGCTTCTCTGTCTCACGTGAATCCCATGTCTTTTGTTACCCAGGCTCTGTCCAATAATATACGTTTACGGTTATAAAAACGCTTCTATACATGACCTAAGTATGTTTTTCACTTTGCTGAGCCCTAGTTAAATTCCCGCGACTGAAAGAATATAAAGTGGTGGCCTCGGCGTTCTCACGAAAAAATGACCAAGTACTTACTATACATTACTTCATATTCAGGGAACATTCGTTTTACATCCCAAGCCAAATACGGGAATGTTTAGATGGCCCCTACGTGTTCTCGCAGCCTTCAATTTATCAAGTAAATCATATTTTCGATTTACAAAATACTAGGAAGCGTTTTTGATCCATATATAAATATGCTATTCTTATCGCACAGCATTCACAAGCACCGACTCATTTTTCTACGTATCATCATTTATGTAAACGACTTGCGGATCCACCTCCTCGTCTTTCCTCCTAACCACGAGCTTGCGTAAGCTTGCCATTCGTGCTTCGGCGACCAAGTAGCGGAAGATATCACGGAGTGACGCGGCGTAAACACCTGGGTCTTGCCTGCTCTTCTCCCTGGCTACTTTCCGTGTCACGAGCATTACTTCAGCATCAGTAGCTCGTGCGGGAACAATAGGAGGGGGAGAGAGGAAGAAGAGAGATGGGGTTGCGGGCCGGGCGGGAAGATGCAGAACATTTAATCCGAATGAACGAATGACTGCTTCCGTCCGTTTTTTTTTCAATGACAGAGATAAGGAGCTGGCCTCACAATAATGATGGGGCACCTCGGTGTGTACACCGATACTGGTACAGCGGCAGTGCAGTTTCACTGTTTCCTGAAGAGAAAATAACGGAACTGATAATGCTCGTGATACTAACGCATATATTACAAATAGCTATTACTACGACAAAAACAATAATTTACTAGCATTACTTATCCCTAAACATCAGTAATGGAATGTGTATCTTATCTTACATGTGTCCGAATAGACATTCGTACTTATGGATTACATAAACAAGCACTCTGGGTACGAAAGCGTGCACGAGTTCACTGATCACTGTATTTCTCTCTATCTCCTACTGTTTCGTACCGCAACAATTGTTTTTCCGTTTCTTTCGTCAGTTTCTTGTCACTGTTTAAAATCAATAGTCCACCCCGGAAACATAGATCACCCGAGAACATGCACGAGCGAAGCAGCAGTGCCTTGTCAAACTCTCAGTGCATATCGCCGTCGCCTCGCTGAAAACACTGCACTGCACGCAATACAGCGCTGCAATAGCATAAGAATTAGAAATGCCCGATGAATCACACCACAGAGGAGTCCTCCGTCTCTACACCCGCGATCAAAGCCGCACACTGCCACACACACACACGCCAGAGGAGGGCGCGGTACACTGAGGTTTGGACGCGTAGCAGAAGGGGGCCACGCCGCCGCCACCTCCGCTCGGCTACGTAACCCCTACACGCCTGGGTTAGGTAAGCCCGCCCGCCGCCATTCTCTCCCCCGGCTCTTCTGTAACAGCTGTGAAGGGCGGAACTGCGCGCCTGCTGAGCACACCAGGAGGAGACGCAGCACCAGGAAGGTCTTCGGTGTTGTGCTTGCTTGTATTAGGCTGTGCGGTTACATAACGAAAGAACGGAAAAGGTTTCTCAAGACATTTGCAACTGTTATTCAGGAAGCAAAACTGTGCAGTGACGCGTTTCTTAAAATACACACAGAAAATATAAAATATTTAATCAATAAGATGTATATTAATATTCATACACACACATATATACATGTATATGTATATACATATATACACACATACACACAGTGTATCCACACACACAAACACACACACACACACACACACACACACACA